TAACAAGGTTTGAGTGTCAGTATAACAAGGTTTGAGTGTGTCAGTATAACAAGGTTTGAGTTTGTCAGCATAACAAGGTTTGAGTGTGTCAGTATAACAAGGTTTGAGTGTGTCAGTATAACAAGGTTTGAGAGTGTCAGTATAACAAGGTTTGAGTGTGTCAGTATAACAAGGTTTGAGAGTGTCAGTATAACAAGGTTTGAGTGTGTCAGCATAACAAGGTTTGATTGTGTTAGTATAACAAGGTTTGAGTGTCAGTATAACAAGGTTTGAGTGTCAGTATAACAAGGTTTTGATGTCAGTATAACAAGGCTTTTGTGTGTCAGTATAACAAGGTTTGAGTGTGTCAGTATAACAAGGTTTTGATGTCAGTATAACAAGGTTTGAGTGTCAGTATAACAAGGTTTGAGAGTGTCAGTATAACAAGGTTTGAGTGTGTCAGTATAACAAGGTTTTGATGTCAGTATAACAAGGTTTGAGTGTGTCAGTTTATTGAAGTTTTGTTTTGATTTGATATGAAGTTTCTGATTTGGAAGTCAACAAGAAAAAAAGACTACTTTTCTGATCATTCAAAACATTTTTTTTGTATGTTGCAACACTAAACATTGCCTTAAACAATACATAATCCAGCCACAGGATTTAGTTATGTCTATGCCAGCCTTGCTTTGGCATCTGATATCAACAGTCCTCTGAGGTATTGCTGGCTGAAGTTATGACATATCAAACCAGTCTTTATATACATGTATTACGTTATCACGTCTTGCCTCATCATTCTGTCAACTGGCAAAAAGGAACTGACATCACATTTCATATCTGCCTGTAATCATAGAGATATTTTGAACCTTTTAAAGCTACATAACTTTGATTCCAATATACTCAGTTCAACCCTACCAGATTGGAAAGGAAAATTTTAGTCCCACTAAGTATGATATATCTATGCTAGACACGAGAAGTTTTTTTTAATACAAACCTTTTTGGATGAATTCATGACAGGATTAGATTTTTGTGTGTGTTTTGTGTCAGTTAATTAATTAGGTTGGTGTGAGAGAAGATAAAAAAAATGTACTGAATCCAGGACCAAATCAACAGTAGGAGAACTCACGCATCAAACTGGAGCTAAACCATCAAACATTGACACGAAACTAGTGGGAAACATACTAAGTGCATGTTTCATCAAATTCAATGTACATTTCACCTGAGGTGGAAAAAGGCAGAATGTTGTTATCACTGACTACATAAATATTTCATGAAGTTGTAAGGATGCTAATAGTACACAAACATCAGTAAAAAGCCTGCAGCAAGCCTTACCATCAGTCAAATTAAGGCTGTTCCCAACACATGCTCTTTTGTCACCTCCACATAGGAAAGTTTCATACCATTTCAACCCCGGAAGGGCCCATGACTGCAGTTATGTACATTTCAGAAAAACATATACTTGCACAACAAATGATATTTTGAAAAATCTCTTAAAATCAAAGAACATTGATCACAGATGGAAAATGAAGAGAGAATTTTAGTTTTATTAAGAACATGCTTCAATTCATCTCAGAAAACAATAGTATCCATTTTTAAGAAAGAAAAACTAATTCGTATTACAAACTTGGGATTGTTTATACTAAGGGACATTAAACCACTGGCTAAATCTACAAACGATTAAAGATTTACGTATAAATGTTTCGGGAGTAGAGCTACGTAATTAGTCTTTACAGATGAGCGTTAATTATCACTGAAACAATGACTAAAGTCATTAACTCAATACTAATTATAGAATACTGATGTATGTGTTCAGAATTAAGGTTTTTAAATCTCTAAAGGAAATGATTTCTCCTTCCAGTTTGTTGTAACTGAATGGCCGTTCCAATGGTGTTAGAATAAGATTGCTGATAGTCAGTTAAACATTGGCTTACCTAACTACAGGCAAAGATTCAAAGTGTGTTGTTGAATACTCAAGTGGTTGTTAGTGTTAGAAACAGTCCTTTCTGTGTGCTGTGGTTGTGTCCCAATAGTTCTTGATGGCTTGTGGCTCACCTCTTCTATTATGTTCAGTGTAGTAGCAAACTGTAACTACAATTGCAACAATAGCTGTAACTGCAATTTTTAGGAGATGTCCCCATCAAAATGACCCTGGTTGATGACAGGGTGATAACACTGTAAACTAAACTTTCTGTATACTAAAGCACAGATAAAACCAGTAATTCAGAATGGAGAATCCCGAAATTTAATTGGTTCATGTCATTATAACTATAGGACTGTTGCTCTCGGATTATTTCATTTTATTGTCATCATGTATTATTGATCAGATTATTGAATGCGATAAAGAATCGTAATTCTGATGAATAATTCAGACATTTTAGCTGCCAAATTAATGATACATGTGAAATCTTGATTTTTTTATCTGGCGTTATCTCCTTATTCTCGGTCAGTCTTGTCAAGTTTCCTTGACCCATTCCACTGCCAAGTCTTACTGATATCATTTGGCAACAGACAGAAAGAAACTCTCAACTTGGGGTCTATTTCAGATATTGATGTAAGAAAATATTCAAGTAAGATGCTTTGTGCTTAATGAAGCAGAGAAAATGAAAGGCTAAAGAGCTTCATCTTCTATAAAACCTGACTATAAAGGCCACTTACAGAGTCTGAAAATAACATAATATTATTATTATTATTATTATTACATTCTTAACGGCCAGTCAACACATAAAAGGTCATTAGGGCCATCATACGGTAAAACACACAGCGATCCAAAAGGAAATAATATTAAACAAACCAAAAAGTAATATTAACATAATAGCAGATTGCCTTTATACAGAGGTTCAGTGTTGATTGAGGTCCATAATGTTTGTTCAAGGAAGCAGAGAAAATGTATCTTAAGAAACAGGTGGTCTTTTACATAGGAGTTCTATGAGGACAAAAACCTGTCTACAAAGGCCACTAAAGGTGGTAGAGGAGTCTTTATATACAAGTTCAATTACTTCAATTTGTATGACACTTGGACCTGAAACAAGTAATTGTTCTGTATACAGGTGACCTTTATAGACAGGTGTTTGTAATATATACATGTGTCCTTTAAAGACAGGTATTTGTAATACCTACATATGACCTTTATAGACAGGTATTTGTGATATATACAGGTGATCTTTGGATACAGGTGTTTATAATGTGTACATGTGACCTTTATAGACAGGTATTTGTAATATATACATTTGATGTTTAATTCAGGATTGACTGTTTAAGGAAATGATGTAGGGAAAATTTTATCCAAAACGTGTATTAAAAAGATATTGTTGCTAGTTCATATAATAAGATAAAAAAGCCTGCTATCACTGACCTACCTGCCTGTATATAGACGGTAAAATTTACCTGGATGAAAGATTCTTAATGTGATTGAACCATATTTTTTGTATCCTTAAACTTTGTGAAATTAGTTGAATTTCAAACAGATTTACTCTTAGGAATAAGGCATGAATGGTAGCTTGTTAAGTTGTTTCTGATCATTAAAGGGAGGTGACTCAGTAGAGTTTTAAAAACCTTCCCTGCATTAAGGCAGATTACACTACATTCCTAATAAAACTTGATATAGTTTGATTTACTGGACAAAATGTGCTGCACTTAGTGTTTGAATAGGATGAATGGTTGAATGAGAATGAATGGTTGAATGGGAATGAATGGTTGAATGAGAATGAATGGTTGAATGGGAATGAATGGTTGAATTGGAATGAATGGTTGAATGAAAATGAATGGTTGAATGAAAATGAATGGTTGAATTGGAATGAATGGTTGAATGGGAATGAATGGTTGAATGGGAACGAAAGGTTGAATGGGAATGAATGGTTGAATGGGAATGAATGGTTGAATGGGAATGAATGGTTGAATGAGAATGAATGGTTGAATGGGAATGAATGGTTGAATTGGAATGAATGAATGGGAATGAATGGTTGAATGAGAATGAATGGTTGAATGGGAATGAATGGTTGAATGGGAATGAATGGTTGAATGGGAATGAATGGTTGAATGGGAATGAATGGTTGAATGGGAATGAATGGTTGAATGGGAATGAATGGTTGAATGGGAACGAAAGGTTGAATGGGAATGAATGGTTGAATGAGAATGAATGGTTGAATGGGAATGAATGGTTGAATGGGAATGAATGGTTGAATGGGAATGAATGGTTGAATGGGAATGAATGGGAATGAATGGTTGAACGAGAATGAATGGTGCTGAATGTGAATCCAATTCTGAGGTTCCAGCATATCCTTATGTACTTTTAAACCTGTAGATATACTTTTTCTCAAGGATCCAGGTCCTGTTTCCAACTATGCCTTCCAGTTCCATGTCTATTCATCTTTGTAGGCACCTTATTACTAGTTCCCCTCTCCTGTGTGTCTGATTATACTTATTGTTGTTAAGGAATGACTAAACAGTATCCCCACTGGATATAGAGTTTTTGTTTCTCAGTATTCTCTATGGCTGTGGAAATCAGTCTATTTCTCCGTATCCACCATGGTTTTGGAGACAATACTGTTGTTACGAGTATCTTCTATGTCTATGATGACCAAACTGTATTTTGCGGTATCCCCCACCCCCCCAAGATGCTAAAACCAGTGTATATTTCCCAGTATCCCCCCTGGCTGCAAAGATCTGTGTATATTTCCCAGTATCCCCCCTGGCTGCAAAGACCAGTGTATATTTCCCTGTATCCCCCTGGCTACAAAGACCAGTGTATATTTCCATGTATCCCCCTGGCTGCAAAGACCAGTGTATATTTCCCAGTATCCCCCTGGCTGTAAAGACCAGTGAATATTTCCCAGCATCCCTCATAGCTGTGCAGACAAATCCTTCTGAGTAACCACTCCTACTGTAGAGACCAATCTATATTTCCCAGTATCCCCAGCGGCTGTAGAGACCAGTCCGTCTGTACAAGCATGCCATAAGTTTGGGGATGAGGGGTGTTGCTAGGTGCTGTGCCTGACTAATGTTATTCTGTGTGTAGGTACTCACTGTGGCGGCTCCAGTCTGGTACCTCTACAGACTTCACCATTACGACCATGTAAACATGAGCTGTGTTGGTTTTGTTTTAACTAATTAATGTCTGTCCATTCTGTTTTAGACACTACAACTAATTAGGAGAGTGGGACGACCAGCTCAGGATTTACTACTGTCATAGTGTTACGTGAAGACGTTTGGAGACGGAGGTTGTGAAGTTTTGGAAAGTGTGCGATTATTGTAACTGTTTCTGGATTTGTTTTGTGCCCTGTATATCAACATTGGACTCAACCTGCTTGCGATTTGGAGCATATCATTGCATTTTACAGGGGTAATAGGTAGTTTTAACTTTTTATCTTTATTTGAATTTGAAGACAGTGTGGAGTTACGAAACATCCTTCAAAGTGACAGAACAAAGATTCTTACCATCCGTGATTCATCAACACGAAAAAGTGTAATTTGTGGATTTTGTTAAAAAGTTTGTTTATCGTTAAAATCAAGAGATTGCCATAGTTAGAAGTGTATTTCCAGTGTTAACGGGCAATCATACTTCAGCAACTGAGATTTTTTATCCTGTGGATTACTGATGCTGTAAAGGACTAGATTATCAGTGTACTTGGATGGTAGCCGTGTAACTTCAGTGTTTTTCTGGTGAGTAGTTTTTCATATGTTTATAAATGTAAGACGGCGGAGAGCATGTAGAGTAGATTGGAGTCAGATCTCCATGGTGATAAGGACAAGTCAGAGGGATGCTACATATTTTTGTTTCTCGGAGCCTGTTTTGGAGATTGTAAGCCGCGATAATGTCCGTGACATGTACTATTTCATTAGGAACATCGTTTTTCATTTTTTGAAACGAGTGATAGCAGTAACACAACCCTGATGGGAAGATGTAGTACTAATATATATAGGTCTACAAAATGTAATTACGGTCTTGTAGTTACAATCTCGACAAATAACATTCTGTACATAAATAGGTTTCTTTGTAAATACACTAGTTACACTATACTAAGTATATTACACTGTTTTGTAAGCACAATTAATTACAATGTAGGATATTACAGAAATACATATGTAATTACTAAATTACACTATAGAATGAAATACTTAAATACTCTTGTAATACATCAATATTTGTATGTATTAAAGAAACATATAATTTTTTTTTTTTTTTTTACTCTTCGATAAAGAAGTGAATTACACTTTTAATGTAACTAGTAATTACCACATAATATTATACTAGTAAGTAGTAATTACAAGTGTATCATGGCCATGTTTGTTTTAGTTACACTTTCATCATACTTCAGACACTCAGTAAATTACAGTAATAAACAATATCTTTTTACCAAAGAGCAGTTATTTGGGACTTTTATGTACCAATATTTCTTTATAGATTGTAGGTTATTAAAGAACTGACATTTTGTTTGTTATTAAGTTTTTCTACACAAGGAAGGCCTTCGAAAATTAATACTCAATTGACTCCATACAAAAAGTACTATCTCTGTGTAAAGTATATTCTACAAAATCCTTATTTATAATTTAACAAGTTGAAGTTTAGTAACGAATAATGATTGAAAGCAATATCATGTTTTATTCTTCAAAGGACAGATTACAGTGGAGGCTACTCAAGCTATTAATCCCCTACTCAATACTGTCCTGAAAAGTCATTTTACTTTCTGAAACATTGATATGGCCCCAATCGTAACTGTTGGGGGAGTTTGGTGTTACGGTTTAGTAATTAAAAAACTTTAATTAGAATATGAAACCTTTTTTTAGATTAAAAATTATAAGACAAATGAATCCTACCCGTAGATCCTGTGTATTTGTTGTGATGATTGAAATGATACAAATTACCCTCATATTTCTCTATGTAGCCCATAACACTCCATCACCAACAAATCCCAGCATCATCAACCCAAGTTCCTATTGCAGTAAACTCTCTTTAGAAATTTGAATTTTTACTATAAAAAATTCAGGAGTTAAAATCAAACATGACATATAATGGGATTCTAAATTGAATTTTAATACAAAGATTTTCAGGTTTGCACCAGTTATAGTGTTTAAAGTAATGATGTTCATTAAAGCTGAGCTGTACAATGTTTATTCATACCATCAGCTCTGTAATGGTTCTCGGTGGGGAGGCTCAGAAATAAAGAGAGGTATAAAAAAAACACTTTATTACATCAATATCATGGCATTTAGAAGACAATGAATTTGAATGTTGTTGCCAGTGTCCATTTTCTCAAAGTCTAAGGAATATAAAACCCAGAAAATGATGAGGTCAGTCAAATGTTAAGTAGATGTGGTGGGTTGAGGGAGGAGGTTATTCTGAGTTTCTTTCCTCAGTTATTTTATGATTCTACAAAGCTGGCATAAACTTCAAATTTTTTTTTTTAGAAATTATAATTGAATCCATTGCATGCAACAGGATCACCATTAAAAATCTATTGCTTGAAGTGAGGTTAAGGACATATGTTACCATTGCCTGGTATTTAAGGGTTATCTCCCTTTTAAAGTCAATCAGTATTATTTCATTACTAAAAATTAATTTTAACTTCATCAGTAGATGAATGTTCAGATATTATTCAGGTATTTAACATAGACATGTCTAAGTAAAATTTTGACAGTATTTTGTAGTTGGAACTCTTATGGAGAAGAAAATTGTATCCTACATTAAGGTATCATACCCCTTTAAGCAATTTTGCAAAGTTTGGCACTTTTTTGGCATCCATTTGTTGAACGGTATCTTAAACAACAGACTATTGTTAATAAGATAACAAATGTGTTAGATAAGCCAGGTCTACTGCTAGTGGAAAATGTTGTTCTTCAAAATATTTATTTTCAGAAGCGTAAATAAATTGTTAAGAGCTGTCAGTTTGTTATGATATGGTGCAGTTGGAAAAGACCAATCTGCAAAGTGGTCAATAAATCAGAAAAAACGTACAGTTTAAGTGATAAGCTTTTTAATTATCTGTGTATTATAGCGACCTGAACTTTGACCTTTCACATTCCATGATTGATCAGTATATTTTAATTAATGTATTTGATTTTCTGTTAATTTCTGATTATCAACTCACAGAAATAACTACTGCCATTTGATAGATGTATTCCTCATTTGCTTTCCATTACATTAAACTGAAATTGGAAAGTGTGTTCAGAAAATATCATTCAAAGTTTCAGGGTGAGTTTAAATCCTTATATGCTAATTTACTGTAAATATGTTTTTGAAATATTTCTCTTAATTTAAGAAAATAGTAGAAATTTAATATTTGTGAAAAAAACTTCACTTGGTAATCCTCGTCTTTATCATGACTACTTAAGTGGGGAGACAACTCCACAATATTATTTTCGGTATAAATGTAATGTGAATGAAAGTGAAAAAAAAAATGAAAAACTGAAACAAAACAAATAAATAAACAGATACTGTAATGGTTGTTTTTTATGGTTAAAGTGTTCACAACTTTACAACAATTAATGATGATTATTTATCGAAGTTTGAGGATTCGAATATAATGTGTAAGGGGACAGAACTCTGATACCAATTACAGTCATATTGTGTAAGGTATCATATGTCTTTAAGTCCAGGCAAATCACAAGTTTTAAAATCATTCAACTTTTACCAAAATCAGTATGCTTACTTTTAAAATGGAAGGTAGAACTACTTCTTATTTAGATTTTGTAAAGAATTTTTTGCTCACACAATTTAGTTTTTATTCATATGTGAATTGTCCCCACTTATTTAACTACTTGGAACATGTTTTTGTTTACAATGGAATCTACCAAGCCTCGTTATATTTTTCTGATAGAAAACTGAAAAAAATAACAATTTAAAGTAATTTATACTGGTAATTGATTAAACATATTAAATAGAAATAGTTTACTGGGATCACCCTCAGATACTGAATTATAAAAAACCTCTCTGGATTTTTGTAAAAATAATGAAAAATCAAATTTAATCATAAAGTTTTTATCCTTAGTTACAAAACAAAGTCAATAATGGGCTTATTGTAGGACAATGCAGTAGTATTTGTTTGTCTGAACACCAGTTAAGATGTAAGGGGGCTTAACGTAGGACAATGCAGTAGTATTTGTTTGTCTGAACACCAGTTAAGATGTAAGGGGGCTTAACGTAGGACAATGCAGTAGTATTTGTTTGTCTGAACACCAGTTAAGATGTAAGGGGGCTTAACGTAGGACAATGCAGTAGTATTTGTTTGTCTGAACACCAGTTAAGATGTAAGGGGGCTTAACGTAGGACAATGCAGTAGTATTTGTTTGTCTGAACACCAGTTAAGATGTAAGGGGGCTTAACGTAGGACAATGCAATAGTATTTGTTTGTCTGAACACCAGTTAAGATGTAAGGGGGCTTAACGTAGGACAATGCAATAGTATTTGTTTGTCTGAACACCAGTTAAGATGTAAGGGGGCTTAACGTAGGACAATGCAGTAGTATTTGTTTGTCTGGACACCAGTTTAGATGTAAGGGGGCTTAACGTAGGACAATGCAATAGTATTTGTTTGTCTGAACACCAGTTAAGATGTAAGGGGGCTTAACGTAGGACAATGCAATAGTATTTGTTTGTCTGAACACCAGTTAAGATGTAAGGGGGCTTAACGTAGGACAATGCAGTAGTATTTGTTTGTCTGAACACCAGTTAAGATGTAAGGGGGCTTAACGTAGGACAATGCAATAGTATTTGTTTGTCTGAACACCAGTTAAGATGTAAGGGGGCTTAACGTAGGACAATGCAGTAGTATTTGTTTGTCTGAACACCAGTTAAGATGTAAGGGGGCTTAACGTAGGACAATGCAGTAGTATTTGTTTGTCTGAACACCAGTTAAGATGTAAGGGGGCTTAACGTAGGACAATGCAAGTATTTGTTTGTCTGAACACCAGTTAAGATGTAAGGGGGCTTAACGTAGGACAATGCAATAGTATTTGTTTGTCTGAACACCAGTTAAGATGTAAGGGGGCTTAACGTAGGACAATGCAGTAGTATTTGTTTGTCTGGACACCAGTTTAGATGTAAGGGGGCTTAACGTAGGACAATGCAATAGTATTTGTTTGTCTGAAAACCAGTTAAGATGTAAGGGGGCTTAACGTAGGACAATGCAGTAGTATTTGTTTGTCTGAACACCAGTTTAGATGTAAGGGGGCTTAACGTAGGACAATGCAATAGTATTTGTTTGTCTGAACACCAGTTAAGATGTAAGGGGGCTTAACGTAGGACAATGCAGTAGTATTTGTTTGTCTGAACACCAGTTAAGATGTAAGGGGGCTTAACGTAGGACAATGCAGTAGTATTTGTTTGTCTGAACACCAGTTAAGATGTAAGGGGGCTTAACGTAGGACAATGCAATAGTATTTGTTTGTCTGAACACCAGTTAAGATGTAAGGGGGCTTAACGTAGGACAATGCAATAGTATTTGTTTGTCTGAACACCAGTTAAGATGTAAGGGGGCTTAACGTAGGACAATGCAGTAGTATTTGTTTGTCTGGACACCAGTTTAGATGTAAGGGGGCTTAACGTAGGACAATGCAATAGTATTTGTTTGTCTGAACACCAGTTAAGATGTAAGGGGGCTTAACGTAGGACAATGCAGTAGTATTTGTTTGTCTGAACACCAGTTTAGATGTAAGGGGGCTTAA